TTATCTGGTGAACAACCATATGTAGATTAGAGTCCTGACGGGAGTTCAACATGAAGCCACAAACCTCATATAAGCTGAAACCAACAAACGAAGCCATAATTCAAAGAGAAGCAAAAGCGAAGTGTGGCCTAATTCACTGGCAGTTGTGATTCAGCTGTTTTAACTTCACCCAACATAAGCTTTAAACTCATACGTTTGTATTTTACTTAAATCACCCTGAATTTTTATGCGAACAGACGTGAAGGTGGTAAATTATGCAAGTCACGGCGACAGAAGCTGAGTGACGCCTCTTTATCTGTCACCTTTGCACAGATGCTAACGCTGTGACCGATGTTAAAGTGCCCCAGCTGACCCTGACACGAGACGGGCACGTCGACCTTTGGAATCACTGATACGGAATGTCGCAACTGTTCAGCCGGATATCTGAACCAGTAAAAAGCAGATGCTATTTAGATCAATCAGGCACAAGAAAGCCATCTGCTCCATGCTGCACGGTGAACGACACACAGCTAAAACAGGCAGGAAAGGAAAAACGTTTCGTAGAAACTGTAAATGCATCCAGTGGTTTAGATTAGCGACAGATCGGTCACACGACGCCTATCTGCCGTTTAGAAAATAAACGGGTTCTATACTTTTGAGCTGAAGAGGGCGCTAGACTGACATTTTTAGACAGAATTTAGAGTTTTCAAAGAAAATGCATCAAAATGCAAAAATAAAAACTACACACGTCTACAACACTATTAGAATCAGAATAGGTTTATTGCCATTGTCAGTGAACAAACAATTCACAAACTAGGAACTTGCTTTGGTACTAATGTGCTACATATAACATGAATAATAAGATTAAAAATAGAATAAAATAGAATTAAACTTTCAGCTATAAAAAAGGCAGGTAATGGTAACATGGCCGATAACGTGACGCTGTGTCGAGTACAGAAGACCAGCATGGTTGTGTGTTTATAATCTATTCACAAGTCTAACGGCAGATGGAAAGAAGCTGTTCTTATGGCGGGAGGTTCTGGTCCGGATGGACCGTGACCTCCTGCCTGAGGGGAGCGGCTCAAAACGTCTGTGACCCGGGTGAGAAGGGCCAGCTGCTATCCGACCTGCACGCCCCCGAGTCCTGGAGACGTACAGGTCCTGGAGAGACGGAAGGCTGCAGCCAATCACCTTCTCAGCAGAGCGCACAATGCGCTGCAGTCGATGTTTGTCCCTCACCGTGGCTCCAGCGTACCAAACAGCGATGGAGGAGGTGAGGGTGGACTCAATGATGATAGACACTCATTTATACGAGTTATCAGCTAAAAAGGTTGATTTTGACGTGACTTGCTATTTAAGCTATTGAGTCGTATTAAGTTTGTTAAATTTTAAAGCTTTTTTATGTTGCAGAAGTTTTTAAAATATCTTTCTGTCACCTCTAAGCTGACTGGGATGAAATCAAAATGGTTTGGTTGAAAATTCTTCATAAGTTAATAATTGAGACACCTTTGTAGAAATGACTCCTGACACCAAAAGCTAGTTACCATATCGCAGCTGCTTCAGTTAGCTTAGAGAAAGGTTCTGTTTAAGTCACACAGGATTGATGTGCTAATGGCTAGCCACGTAAAAACCACAACAGTGTAATGTCTCCAAAATGTCATTATTTAAATGTTGTTCTGAAGAAAATTGCCTTAAAATCCAGGAGACTGGGGCTTAGAACCAGAGATCAACGATGTTGGTGTTTCTATTGCTGATACCGATGCCGAGTTGTAGAGGTCACGACCGAATATGGGCTGCCAATGTTTTGGGTCCATTTTTATGGCTGATATCTAGATGTTTTCCATAGATCTACCAACAAAAATGTCATTAATAACAGCTGACACATAACATTTCTGAACCTGAAACTGTTTCACACAAAGTTTAACGCACGGTTGTGCAAGGCTCAGGATTAAAGCCGTTGTTACAAATCTACAGAACAATCACCCCCTATCCTTGGGTGTCTTCCCTGAGATGCTTCTGCCGGAATCAGAAACCCACATTGCTATAGGAAACAAGATAGTGTTAAACACCAGTTGCCGTTTTCTAGGTCCAAAAGTCACTTGTTCTTTTTGGGACTCTGATAGTTTGTCCCAAAGTTGAAGTGGTAGCAGCCAGATGTTTCTCCTCTTTTGGTATTATTGAGCGGAGAACCTATAACACCAGTGGTGCTTTGTTGCTGAATATGTGAGTGTGTGATGGGTGGAGGACCCGGGCAAGTGCGTCGGTTTGGCCAGATGAACAACCGAATCGTCCAAAAAGTGTTATCGGTGGAGGTTTTTAGATAAATGCGAGGGAACTACTTCATTTATTTTTTTTATCTACACAATATATTTATAGCTTTACTGTGTTAGCATGTTGTAAAGAGGCATGGTTTAAGCTAATTTGTTTTCCAAATTTACCATTGCAGCTGTAAAAACCAAACACACAACCAAAGTTAATCAAGAGATTAACTGACCAAGTATTAAATATATAAAGCAGGCAAGTAAAATGAAATCTTAGCTGACAATTACGTTTTAAAGCATTTATTAAGCTGGGGTCTATCCTGGACGTAAATATTAATTTAAACTAAATTTGGCAGCAGCGCCAGACTGTCCGCGGATGTGCCTGTTTTTAAATCAGCTTTACTAAAGAGTTATATCGGTTGATGCAATGTTTAAAAATGGGTAACTATCACCCCGATTAATCGACCGACTGATAATTCAGTCTATCCCTACTTAGGACACCTTGATCTTGACTCAGACTAGCTGTTAGCATATTAATCCTGGAGGTTGTAAGGTTGAAACACTCAAAACAAATGAAAAGTCCCTTTAAAGTTTGAAATGTGATAGACAGGGTATCTGCAGATTTAAGGGAGCCAAATTTAAGACTTTTTAAGACCTTTTTTAAGGCCACTTTGACCAAATTTCAGCAATTTTTAAAATTTAATTTAAGCTATAATTTCCAGCTATTGCCTGGAACCGGTGCTAACCACGTCGCGAACGTGGGATTAGCCATCCAGTTACCATTACACTTGCACTTCCCCATGGCACAAGCTCCCGCTAGCTTAACCAGCTAATGTGCTCATCTAAAAATAGCCCCCTTTCACAACCAACTGAATGTGTACGGTTCCGCTTACGCCAATATCGTACACAAAAAATGCTGAACACTAACTAGAAATTCACGACAATTTTATAGAAATAAAATAATCTTGTTTATTGGGTCTTTGGTAATTTAAGACCTTTGGAAACAGTATTTAAGGATAATTTGTCATTTTTAAGGATTTTTAGGGCCTTTAATTTGGAAAAGCTAATTTATGTTGTTTATGTTGTTTATGTGCTTAGCAATTTAAGACTTTTTAAGGACCCGCGGATACCCTGGATAGAAGAAACTTGATTTTATCCTGACTCTTTTTTCATCATTGTGATTGTGAGTGGCCTAGAGGTAGGGTGTCTGCCCTGGGATCGGGATTCAAATCCTGGTCGGGTCATACCATAAACTCTAAAACATGGGATTCAATGCCTCCCAGTTTGACACTTAGCTTTAAGGGGTTGGATTGGGGGGGTTTAACTCGAGTGTGGCCACTGCTGCAGCTCACCAATCCCCACGGGGATCAAGCAATCAATCAAATTTATTCATGAAGCGCTTTTCATACAGATGGAGCTCAAAGGGCAATATTAAAAACAACCCGACATCAGCCGGTTTCCCACCCCTCCCACACAGATTCACATACGAGATCCCCATTGTATCGCCCTCCTCCCACCCTCAACCCCATCGCAAGCAGATGCAAACTCACACACGTAAAAGAGAAAGGGGCTGCTGGCTGAGCGCAGGTGTAGTAGGCACAAAGAAGACGGAAACGCCATCAAAGAGGCCAACTGCGCCGGGAGCAGCAGGATCGGCAGCAGCAGCCTGGGCAAGAGGAGGCACGAGAAGCACCACGGCAGCCACAGCCAACTGCTGTCCCCGGGGCAGCCGGCCCCCACAGAGGAAACACTGGTTTACCAATGAGACTAAGATAACAAGTTAAGAATCAGATTAAACCTAAAAAGCTGATAAATAATGTGTGGGATGGGTCAAATGTGGAGATGTAGGTTCACCATCACCTGATAACAAATTTGTAGTAATGCAGTCACTGACAGTTTAAATAAATCAATGGCATACAATGAGTTAACACAGCTATTATTTACTTGTAAATGCAAGAAGCACCACAGTAAGATGGCAGCTTTCTGTATCAACGTAAAAATGTTAATCAGAAGTAAAAGAAACATTTCTCACACACGAGCTGATTTAGCAGCAATGTTGTTCCCGTTTGACCCGAGTTGTGTGTTCAAAACTCTCCCCCAGGTCACCAACGTCCAATATTTGATTCAAACTACAAATGTTTCCTGTGCAGACCGGGTTCAACCCGTTCCTCAGAGCATCACCTGATCCTTCAAGGTTCTTTTTACTATTTCAAGGAATTAAGGTATGAGTCGACTGAGATCAGTGATCATGAATAATTCATTCAAAGTATGAAGCTTGATGCCTCAGGTTATAGGTGGAGGGCACAGGATAACTTGTCATCTCTCGACCGGGTCTTTAACGTCGTTTTGGATGTTCAAGCGAACTTTGTGCCAAAAGAGATGAAAGTTGTCCGTTTTATTTCTTTTAAATTAAATTGCTTCATCCCTCGGTTCCACTTTTAGACCACCGAGTATTAAAATGACGAGAACACCAAGTTCAACGTCCAAAGTTCTCTGCCGATAAATGAAGTTATGATTTCCCCTGAGCATCAGCTGGTCCAGCAATAACCATTTCCTTTCATTTCTTTCTAAAGTGTGAAGGTCAGAGATTTAATTGTCAGATCTGTGAGTGATTTGTCGAATCACCCTCCAGTGAGATAAGGAGCTCTCCTCCAGGCGAGCCTCACAGCAGCGACCTTGCTAATAAATCCCACAAGTTCACAAGAGTGACGTTTTTTATTACGAAGAGAAGTTCGCAAGTTTTTTTTTTTTAATACTCACCGAAAAAACTGCATTTTGGAGCCCAAATGGTATCGGGGTGAGTCTTGCTAAGGCCACGATTTTGAGTCCACTTCCTCCTTCCACCACTCGTATAACGGCACTGAGCTGGTCACTGTTCCCTACTTTGCTCAGCACCCAGTCACTCAGCAACCTTTTGCACACCAGGTGTGCTACAAACGTACCTATTAAAACTCCCACCATAACCAGTCCCATGCCCAGCACAAAGCCATAGAGATATCCAGCTGCCACGTTGAGAACAATATATCCCCATCCACATGGAAACGACACAATAATCAAACCAACTATGAAAAGCATGGCTCCAACCAGGCTGTCGAGGCTCTCCACCCAGAGCAGGAGGTCCTTGAGGTACTGTCGCACAAGGGCGACCGAGGAGAAGCACACAGCTGTCAGAATGCATGCCAGCAGAGCACTCTTGAAGCAGAAGGTGGTGATACAACAGGGGTGTCTGAACTCTCCGCTGCTGGTGAAGGCCACCCCTCCAGAGTCAGTCATCACCTCAGGGTCCACATCGGACTTCCCCACACCGGCCCCTCTCTCATCAAAGGCGCTGCAGACCAGGATGTCTATTTTGTCACAGTCATCTATAGCTGTCCTCTGCAGCCAGCGGTTCAGATGAATCTGCGTCTTGCCCACTGCATACTTGACAAGCTTGGTGAACAGCTGCACGGTCGTGACCCCAGACGCTGACATGTTGACCCTCAAATAAGCTCCGGGGACCAGAAGTACGGCTCAGATGACCTGGAGACTGCTGTGATGGTAGATCCTTCCGGACAGATGTCACATCCAGCCCGAAAGGTGCTGATCAGTTCAGGTTCAATGCAGGAAAAGTTTATATTTTCATATGTAGATTTCAGCAGCAGTAGTCAATAAATGTGCTGTTCCGACAGCAAAAGAGACACAAAGATGAACTAAATCGCTTCTTGGCCATTTCATGGGTTATCCAGCGAGGTGGTGTTTATCTTGGGTAAACTAGTTGGGTGATGTACCAGTCCAGTGACTCGGGAGAGCAAGTTTCGCTGTCGTTGTCCCGAACACTCGCCATATTCACAGTTTTCACACTGAGTAAACAGACAGGAAAATCTGCCCGGAGCGGAAAAAGACGAACTGAAGGGACATCAAACGAAGATAATCGTGTTCCCATCTAGCCCAAAACAGTAGCAAAAATCAATGCGAGGCTAACTTCACTGCCGCCGTTTAGCTATTCAGACGTCTCGAGGATAAATACCAGCGCTGGAGCTCTGACACTAAAACCGCACTCAGTTGGCCCCCGGCTCGGCTTCTCTCGAATCCCACGAGCACGAGCCGTAAAACGGGTGCTTCAACGCAGTTTGTCCCTTCGGTAGTCGCTTGTTTGTCTCTTCGCCGTCCCTCCTTTAGTGCTTGGCGCTGCTGTTGTCGCTTTCATTCGTACCAACTACTGTTTGTGTCCCAGAATGCCAAGTAACCTCAACACACGAGCAGCCCTTTGACGTTTTAAACCAATCAGAGAGCTAAGTTTGGTATCGCGAGAGTTTGCGAGATTTCACTCCAAGTGCTTATTTTTATTTATCACCTTCGATGAGCTCACAGATACTTACAGTAGTACACGTTATTTGTCCTGTACAAACACTGGTGCGCTACGTTCACCTCAGAAGTCGGGATCAGTAGTAGATTAGTGGCCTCTTACTTTAGCAGCGAAAGCAAATTGGAGTTTTAAATCGCTACCTGCTATCAGAGCTAGCTGTCAATGCTAATGCTAGCGTGTACGAAAACAGGAACAGGTGTAAAATGGGGTTTTATTTGTTTTTATTTCTGTCGTTAGCCACACTGGTTCTACAGCTCTCAATGCTTTTGTAAGATTTCCTACCAAGAAATAAAGTGCAGCGTTCATCGCTGTTGTATAAGGTCATCAAATAGCAGTATTCTTTAGCCACCTCCAGGGGCGCTGTTTTGCCTTGTTTCTAGCACGTGTGTTTTTCTGCACAGTACTCACTGTTGGTCTTCTGGATGGTTTATTCATATATTTATTGACTTAATTAAACAAATATAGATGTATTTGATCAATTTATTGTAGATTTGAATTAAGGAAATTAGATGTATTCACGTGTGGTATTAAACAAGGGGAGCACATATAGTCTATTGGTGTGGACTATTTAGATATTTTTAGATCAGAATTTTTATTTGATCAGGTCTGTAAGTGAAAAATGTATCCTCCAGCAGTCTAAGCCTATAGCAGCATAACTACAGAGATAACGCTGGATAACCCAGCCTTTTTAGTTGGAGGCAGGGCAAGGGAGAGACATCTTTACCAACTATACACTCCACCTCCCTCTACTCCCCCACTTGTCTAGATCTAGGCTAACATCAGATTTTAACCATAGGCCCTATCAAATAAAAATTTTTTAAGCCTAGTCTTAAAAGTAGACAAGGTGTCTGCCTCACGGACTAAGGCTGGGAGCTGGTTCCACAGGAGAGGAGCCTGATAACTAAACTAAACCTGCAGTCTGAGAGTGAAGTGCTCGGTTAGGAACATATGGAACAATCAGATCACTGATGTATGATGGAGCTTGATTATTAAGAGCTTTATATGTGAGAAGAAGGATCTTAAAATCTATTCTGAATTTAACAGGTAGCCATTGTAGGGAAGCTAAGACAGGAGAGATATGATCTCTCTTTTTAATTCTCATCAGAACTCTAGCTGCAGCATTTTGGACAAGCTGAAGACTTTTAACTACATTCTGTGGACTTCCTGAGAGTAATGAATTACAGTAATCCAGTCTTGATGTAATAAATGCATGAACTAGTTTTTCAGCATCACTCCTGGAAAGGATGCTTCTAATCTTAGCAATATTCCGAAGGTGGAAAAAGGAAATTCTACAAACCTGTGTAACCTGGGATTTGAATGACATGTCCTGGTCAAAGATAACACTAAGGTTCCTTACTTTGTTCTCGGAGATTAATGTAATGCCATTCAGGTCAGGTGATTGGCTAAGCAATTTCCTTTTCTGGATTTCTGGTCCAAAGATGAGAACTTCCGTCTTGTCTTGATTTAAATGCAAAAAGTTTAGAGTCATTCAATTTTTTATGTCCTCAAAACAAGCCTGTAATCTACCTAACCGATTAGGTTTATCAGGGTTAATGTCGTCGTCGTCGTCTTCCTCCGCTTATCCGGGTCCGGGTCGCGGGGGCAGCATCCCAATTAGGGAGCTCCAGGCCGTCCTCTCCCCGGCCTTGTCCACCAGCTCCTCCGGCAGGACCCCAAGGCGTTCCCGGACCAGATTGGAGATGTAACCTCTCCAACGTGTCCTGGGTCGACCCGGGGGCCTTCTGCCGGCAGGACATGCCCGAAACACCTCCCCGGGGAGGCGTCCAGGAGGCATCCTGACCAGATGCCCAAACCACCTCAACTGGCTCCTTTCGATCCGGAGGAGCAGCGGTTCTACTCCGAGTCCCTCCCGAATGTCCGAGCTCCTCAGGGTTAATGGATAAATATAACTGAGTATCGTCAGCATAACAGTGAAAGTTTATCCCATGCTGTCTAATGATTTTACCAATTGGGAGCATATATAGTAAAAAGAATTGGTCCAAGCACTGAACCCTGTGGTACTCCACAAGTAACCCTGGAGTATGAAGAAGATTTGTCATGTACATTTACAAAATGAAATCTGTCAGACAGGTAGGATTTAAACCAGCCTAGCGCTGTTCCTTTGATCCCTACAACTTGTTCAAGCCTTTCTAAAAGAACATTGTGATCAACTGTGTCAAAGGCAGCACTGAGATCTAACAAGACTAGAACAGACACAAGATTCTTATCTGAGGCCATGAGAATATCATTTGTAACTCTCACTAATGCAGTATCAGTGCTGTGATACTCTCTAAAACCAGACTGAAATTCCTCAAACAGAGCATTAGAGTTTAAATGCTCACATACTTGGATGGCCACTATTTTCTCCAGGACTTTGGATACAAATGGAAGGTTAGATATTGGTCTGTAATTCATTTCTGTTTATTTTATTTTACAACGAGACATTTTTATATTAACCCTATCAGACGATGACGTTGGCCTCCCAGTTACTCCACCCACCTTTCTAAGTGGTACAAATGAACGGCAACTGGGAAAATATACAAAATTAACCATGACTCCTTTTCTTTTTAAACCCGGAAATTAAACAACAGCACCCCCTGCTGGAATTAAAGCAGCACAAGTTAAAACATTTGCAGCTACAAATAAAAATTCTAGATATAATGTTGATTTTCTTCAGAATGATTGTTGGTCATTTAATTTAACTACCTTTAATTCACACTCATAATCTGGCTGGGGATTATGCCAATATGAAGTTTCATTTATTAGATTAAAGATCTGGGGGACCAGTTTTGTGAACGGCTCAAGATTATGGTTGTTGTTATTGCTATTAAAGCAAACTGACATCCTTGGTCTACACAAACATATTCATGTTACCTGGGTGTTTTTCTCTGTGTGTGTGTAAGCATGCATCTCTGCAATATAGCTCATTATTTAATTCTTGTAAAAGATCGGCGCCAGATCCCTGCTGTCAGGACATGCTTGAAATGCCTACCTATTTAAAAATCGGTCATATTTTAATTATAACATCAACCCCTTTTAAATGAAAAAATCATGACACCCATCCAACATGGAAGGTCAATGATCTCAGTGAAGAAGCTCCTCCATCAGCCTGGATGCTGAATCTGCAGAAGAAACAACTCCATCAGACACAGAAAAAGACGTCTTCAATTTGCTAAATATTTAGATCCCTTTAGGGACTTTATAAATAATGAGGTATTTGTTATTGTCAGACCATAAACTTGTAAACATTCTTTTTTTAAATTAATCTCATTTTTTTCATTCTGTAAAACGATCAAGAGGTGTTAGAAACCCACATGGCAGCATAGATGAGTTTTGATTTATATGTCCCCTTTAGTAATCAGAATCCTGGTTTTAATTATGATGTTCATGTTGAATGATTGCACCATCGATTTGTAGAAATGCACCAAGCGTTATGTTGTTAGCAAAAGCTGTGGCCATTTTCATCCGCTCATCTGGAGTCGGGTCGCGGGGGCAGTAGCCGACCCGAGAGGCCCAGACTTCCCTCTCTCCAGCCACTTGGGCCAGCTCCTCCGGGGGAATCCCAAGGAGTTCCCTGGCCAGGTGAGAGACATAGTCCCTCCACCGTGTCCTGGGTCTACCTTTAGGTCTCCTCCCGGTTGGACGTGCCCGGAAAACCTCACCAGGGAGGCGTCCAGGAGGCATCCTGACCAGATGCCCGAGCCACCTCATGTCATGTTCTGTGTCCCTTTGGTCCCCGGCCCCATCCGGGTTTCCCTCATTTCCCCCCCAGTCACTTCACTTGATTTTAGTTTTCTATATGTTCAGATTATCTAGTTCAGTGGTTCCCAACCTTTTTCCCAAGGGACCCCGTTTTTTACCAGTAAAATTTTTGACGACCCCCTCCCATTTTCTCTTCCAGTACAAATAGTATTAAGAAATGATAAAATTGTTCAAGCACATTTTAATATGCTTTGATTCAATAGATAACAGTAATAGTAGGCTCCAGTACAGAACAAAGTCATGAACAAAACCAAACAGCTTAATGTGCTTGACAGTTTGTATTACTTTTCTGAACACATTGTTTCTTGTAAACACTGATAAATCATTCCTTTCAATAAACGTTTGACACATAAAAAATACACTGAGCAAAATGTACTTAAATGTGTATATTACTGTTTGTACTAGATTATTTACTGTAAACGCTGTGATTAATCAACCAGTCCTATCTTTAATGAACTTTTGACACTTGAAAATAAAACAGTGAGCTGAGCAAAATGTTCTTAAAAGTGTGTTACTTTTTCTGTACTAATTATTTCCTGTCTTAATATCAGTAAACTTTTCACTCATGAAAAAAAATGTGAGCAAAATGTAGGCTATAAACAAGTAATAAATAAAGTTTTAACCCCTTAAAGTGGAGAGGTCCTGGCGACCCACTGAGAGTCTTTGGCGCCCCCTTGTGGGGGTCGGGACCCCCAGGTTAGGAACCACTGATCTAGTTGGTATCTCCTTTAGTGTGTTGTTTCCTTCCCCATGTAGGTCATTAGTGTTGTGTGGTGGGGTGAGTACTCCTCATCTCTATAACATCTTTGAGCTCTTCATTTCAGGAGAGGGAGCCACTACACAGCGCTGGATGATTAACTACTCATGGTAGTATTTTGGCCACTCGTTCTAGGTTGCTTGGTTTCTAAGTAGATAATTGGCTTGGAGAATTTCTTGGATTGTTCTTGGACTCTTGTGTTGGATTTTTGGACTCAAGTTTTGTATCCTCTCTCCAGGATTACTGGACAATCTTCCCTGACGCTCTGGGTTTGTTGGATATTATCCTCCATCCAAGAAGCAGAACCTTACTGGTTTACTCACCTGGAAAGAACCATACCTTCCTGGACTTCACGGTTCGCCTCTCTTCTTATTCCTCTGCCACCCTGCCTGGCTCCCTCTCCTGGACTCACCCTGTCACTCCACCTGCCCTCCTCGACCTCCTCCACCTGCGGAACTTGGACTCTCTCTGGCTCCAACTACTCTGGGTTTATTCCAGGGACACCTTTTGTTAGATTCCTTAAACAAATCATTGTTTTGAACTTTTCCCCCCGTCTTGTGATGATTCTTCATGTCGTGGGTTAAACACATTCCCAGGAACATGACAATTAGTTTACTTATCTTTAGATCTCCTGTGTCTTCTACAGTGTTTAGGTTTATTTTAGTTTAGTAGCTTTTGTTTTACTGGTTTTAGATCTTGTTTGCTCCCCTGCCTGTTTCTGCTCCTCCGCTCAGTTTATTAGTCTCACCTGTGCCCGGTTCCCTTAATCACCCAGCTCCTGTGTATATAACCCTGTCTTGTCTCTCGGTGTGTTGATGGTCCATTGTCAGCGTTGTTCTAGTTGCCTCGTGTGCTTTTGAGTGTTTTTGTCACTCCTCCAAAATAAAGGATTCTTTCTTTTGCAACCGCTCCCGCCTGTGTAGTTCTGGGTTGTTGCATTTTGGGTCTAAGCCTCCAACCCTCAACGTGACACCAACTGGCTCCTCTCGATGTGGAGGAGCAGCGAATCTACTCCGAGCCCCTCCCGAATGGCCGAGCTTCTCACCCTACCTCTAAGGGAGAGCTCAGTCACTCTGCGGAGAAAAGTAATTTCGACCGCTTGTATCTGCAATCTCGTTCTTTCGGTCTCTACCCAAAGCTCGTGACCATAGGTGAGGGTAGGAACTTAAATCGGCCGATAAATCGAGAGCTTCGCCTTCTGACTCAGATCTCTCTTCACCACGACAGACCGGTACCACGCCCGCATCACTGCAGATGCTGTTATTATTAATAGACATCTGTCAATGCAGACATCTGTCAGTGTACCCCAGGGTAGCTGTGGCTACATCGTAGCTCATCACCATCAGTGTGTGAAGGTGTGTGTGAATGGATAAAACACTGTAGTTTAAAGTGCTTTGGAGTCCTTACTCTGAGAGGTGCTATACAAGTGCGGGTCATTTATCATTATTATTAATAATAATACGTTTTCAGGGAATATCAAGAGCTATTCTGGTTTCTAGCTGTGCAGAAAAGATGTAGCATAGAAATCTAGACGGAATGATTTTGCTTTGATGACTTGTAAAGCTGGAAAAGACATCCAGATAAAAAAAACATGTATTTTAAGGAGCATTTCAGACGCTTTTTCAGAACTTTTTTCCCCCTAACCCATAAAACAACATTAGACAGTTTATCTGCTGTTCGTCCTGACATTTCATCTTTAAAATCTCCACAGTTAATGTTATCCTGTAAGCACAGTTATGAGGGTTGGATGTAAAAGAACAAGAACATTTAGTCTGTAAAGTATAATTTATGTAAAAAAAACTGGTTTATTTGAGGATAATTTCTTATTAATAATAATAATAAAAACCAAAGGTATTGGGAATGCCACTCATGTTTGTAGTGATGATGCTAGCAGGAGCGTTCCTCTCAGCCAATCAGCATTCAGAGTGTGAGTGCGGCGTGAACTCCCTCCTCTCTGGATGACGCACGCATCCCTCTGCGTGTGTGTGTGTGTGTGTGTGTGTGTGTGTGTGTGTGTTGACGCCGGCCAGCTGCTACTGGAGAACAGCGCTGATGATGGGAACACAAACACGGACGGTGTGAGGATCCGGTGATGCTGCTGAGGCCGTGAGGCGAGCCGAACCGCGTCGAGCTTCACCTACTCTCCCGCCCTGGATGATTACCTATCCCGATGGGGTGTGGAGGGAGTCGGGCGGACGCAATCATCGTGCCGAGGTACCATGAAAGCTGGACCAGAGAAACCGAGTCGACATGGCTCACGAACACGGACGTGGAGACCCCTGTCTCGGTTTCTAACAGTAGGTTTATATCTGATTTCAGTTGTAGGCCAGATTACACTAAAAATGCTCCAGGGAGCTAAATCCCAACAATGCTCCAGCTGACACAGCAGATTCTCATCCTTTCTCTTTATTTAGATAATGTATTTTTTATTTTTATTTCCTGAACCTCCAAGGTAAAGCCACGGAGGCCGGTCTGAGGGAGAAGAGGATGGTGACTACAGGGACCCAGTGTGGGAAGCAGGCCCTCGCCACCAATGGCTCCAACCACCAGAGGAGACTTAGACGCTCCTTAAGTGAAGTATGATGGCCTTTGTTGATTTATTTTTTAAATATTCTGCCTAGAATTTTTGACCAGTTTCTCCCGTCACTTGTTGTGTAGAGTTAGGCCCACTGTTGTTTATTTTTAAAGAAATGTAACTATGAGAAGTAGAGTTATAAAATAAAAGTCTGAGAACAGCACTGATAGGGAGATCCAGGGCCGGCCCAAGCCTTTTTGGGGCCCTAAACAGCTCTTCTATTGGGGCCCCCCAATACCAACAAGTTAACACCGAATGACTCACCATTCCTAGGCTACACTATAGCCCTTTGTAGAAGACGCACCATGCCTGCAAATGAGCATAATACTGCTGCCACGGTGTGTCTTATGAATGCGCTGTGGCGGCATGACTTTGCAAAAATTTTGCGGCATTCGTGCTGCCACGCTTGGTAGTAACATTGCTGCAACGCCACACTTGTAAATGCATATTGCTTTAGCGCAACAGAAGGAGGTGCCGTTATCACGTGGGGGGTTACTGCTGAGCTCCGACCGGCAACTATATTGAAAATGAAAGTAAACAAGTTACGTACGTTTTGCTATAGTAAACATAATCAGATGAGATCATAAACTGGAGCGATGCTCCATTAGACCTGGAGGTCAGATAACCAAAGACTGCACTGGGACTGTGGAGGACAGACACCTTTAGGGGCGGCTTGTTAAAAAAAAACGTAACGAGTGCTGCTTTGATTGCATGTCTACGGTAAACGAAAGTCCGTGGCAGTGCAGAGACTGCCCCATACTCCCTTTTATACATTCATTGCGTATTTTTGTGAAAAGGACATGACTGCATCACATTACTGCCATGGTCTGACCACTTATAAACAACCTAAAGGTCCCTGATGCCGGCTCGGCGTCGCTGCAAATTGGCAGCATTGTTTGTCTTGCGTATCTTGGGCTAATTCTGAGGAGAGAAGGAGAAGAAAAAACAAAACTAATGAAAAGGAAATGTTTTTTTAAGTTGAAAGTTAGCAGTTTCAGGAATTTGCCAAGGACATTTCTGCCATATGTACCCAACTGTAACCAAGGAATCCATTTATGTTTTTACTGGGCAAACTTCACAAAAGCAAGTTATTTTTTTATTAAATACAATATGCAACAATTTAGCATCGGCCACAGCAGAACTCAAAGATCTTCCTTCAATCCTTCACAATAAAAGTCTTCAGTCCGGTTCACATCGTGCGTTTTTCGGTAGTCGTAAAGGGTATCTTCATGTCATTGTGTGAGCTCTAGAGAGGTGGCGCACTGTACAGCCCAAGATTTCAGTGAGTCAAAATGCACAACATCCCATTAGTAGGACACGCCAGGAAGTGATGTAGATTGCAGACTGGGGTCGTTGATTCGTCATTGCTTGGAGACTGTCAGAGGCCCTGTCCACACGGGGATTTGCCAAAACGTAGATATTTTTCTACGTTTTGGTCTGTCATCCACACGAAAACGGAGTTTTTTCACACGAAAACGGATCTTTTTCAAAACTCCGGCCTAAGTGAAGATCTGCGTTTTCTCCATTTTGGGTGTCTGCGTGTGGACAGACAAAACCGGAGTTTTAAGGTCTGCAACGTCACTTTCCGCAACAAAAAATGCTGACATCACGTGTGCGACCTGTGTGTACACTAGCCGACAGCATGGATGCCCTCAGAGCTGCGCTCGCTTTATCAATCGTCCAAGCGCTTTCTGCTTGTTTGTTTTTGCAAGCGGAATTACTGCTCCTTGCGGAAGACCACAGACGAAGGACGAGGTTAAGAACGGGGGAGGTACTGCCGCCTACAGGTCTGGCATGTCCTTAACAACGTATTTATCCGGGTACGTGTGGACAGTTTTTTTTTAAACGAGGTGGTGTGGATGCAAGTTTTTGGAGGGGTGGATATTCGTTTAAAAAAAAAACCCCGGCTACGTGTGGACTAGGCCAGAGACTAGAGTTGGTTGTGGGAGTGGCGTGCTCAATATGCTGTCGGTAGGCCAGTCACACTGGATGGTCACAAGACTTGTAAATCATGCTCATGTTCATTTTTGTCACAACTCTAGAAATATTTGTCTAGGAAGCCCCCCCCCCCCCCCCCCCAAAAAAAATATATGTGTGTGTATTTTGTATTAATTTCTGGTAAAACTCAATATATTTTATAACTTTTACGTATGTTTAGGACTCTTATTGTGAAGGAATGAAGGAAGTTATTTGCTTTCTGCTGTGGAAGAGGCCAAAAAGCTTAGTAATAATTGCAGTAAGAACCGTCCCTTACGTAGATAATTGGGTAGCAGGAGCTCAACAGGTTGAGTGGGTTGTCCAGTAATCGGAAGGCTGCAGGTTCAATCCCAGCTCTGGACAGAAAATGCTAATGTTGTGTCCTTGGGCAAGACACTTAATCCACCTTGCCTGCTGATGGTGGTCAGAGGGACCGGTGGCTCCTGTGCTCGGCAGTCTTGCCTCTGTCAGTGCGCCTTAGGGCAGCTGTAGCTATTGTAGCTCATCACCATCAGTGTGTGAATGGATGAATGATACACTGTAGTGTAAAGTGCTTTGGAGTCCCCTGACTCTGAAAGGCGCTACACAAGTGCGGGTCATTTATCATCAATAAAAACTGAACAAATATGACAAAGGTAGCTTTTTTGGGATATTATTGAAATAGCCCATTTTTGATTTCTAGATTTAAATGTTTATTTTTTTTATTTTATTAAGATTCAACCTAAGTGTGAACACTTGCTTCCCTATAAACCACAGATAACCTCATTTATTCAACATAAAAAGCAAAAATATGAACTTTTACTTGAATGTTAATGAAGCACCAAATTTGATCTTATTTTTGTGTTCATGTTGATATTTATGATATGAAATATATTCACAGCAGAGTACTCGTGACTCCAAAAGGAGGGCATCGAAGGAGGCCAGCTCTCTGTCGAAAGACAGCCAGTCTATCAGCATCAACGCCAGCGCAGATGCTGAACCAGAAAGCGCGTGCGACGAGAGATGAAAGCAGAGCTGAAACGCTGTGAGGAGGGCAGACGACCAGGACTGCAAACACTTCAGCAGAAAAACAGGACGCTAATTTGCAGTATTGCAGACGCCGTTTGCTTGTGACTTTGCAAGAACCCAGCTGTCAGCCGCAGTGGTCGAGCACCCGCTTACATTTCTGTCCAAAGACCTCTGGATGCTGCATTGCTGTTGCATGCGTGAGGAGGAGAGTGCAGCTCACACTCGCCGCCATATGCTTCATGCTAAAATAGCGTCGGTCAGGGAATGTGTCGCTGTGTTAAGACGACTTTTAAAAATCATTTAAGGAGAGGAGATCACCCCATAAATGCACACGATAATCACGGTCTGCACATCGGTTGTGTTGTGTGTTGGGGCTTCCTGATGTATTTGCTTTAGTTCTTTGTGCAGTTATACTCTCTTTTTGGTGCTCGTATAAAACCCACTAAGTATGCTGCTTAACTTCAGTCATTGCGGTGAGTATTTTTGATTTAAAAAGCCTAAAGTGCTGTTTAGAAGCTGAGATTTGGATGTCTGAAGCTTAAAGGCTAAAGACTGTCTGCTCCAGCATTTGCAAGTTAAAAACAAACAAACTATACCTGCATGTGCCTACGATTCCTCTTGATTTGAAAACTTTTGATCTATTTTATTACTTTTTTTGTCTATAATGTGTTCTACGGTTTTTCCTTTTGCCGTTTTTTGTGTGTGTCATTTTAAGTTTTTATCCAGAATGTAATGTAATATCAGCCAAATATCAGTTCAGAGTACCCACCCTTTTTGGAGTCCCTGGGACGAGTGCTAGATAGTGCTCCATCAGGGGACTCCATTGTCCTGCTGGGGGACTTCAATGCTCACGTGGGCAATGACAGCTTGACCTGGAGGGGTGTGATTGGGAGGAACGGCCCACCTGATCAGAACTCGAGCGGTGTTTTGTTATTGGACTTCTGTGCAAGCCGCAGTTTGGCCATAACGAACACCATGTTCGAACATAAGGATGCCCACCGGTACACTTGGTACCAGGGCAGCCTAGGTCACAGGTCGATGATAGATTTTGTAGTCGTATCATCTGACCTGCGACGGTATGTTTTGGACACCCGAGTGAAGAGAGGGGCGGAGCTGTCAACTGATCACCACCTGGTGGTGAGTTGGATCAGATGGCAAGGGAACATGCCGCGTAGACCTGGCAGACCCAAACGCATAGTGAGGGTCTGCTGGGAACGCCTGGCAGAAGAACCTGTCAAGACGGTCTTCAACTCCCACCTCCGGCAGAGCTTTGACCACGTCCCGAGAGCAGTGGGGGACATTGAGTCCGAGTGGGCCTTGTTCCACTCTGCGATTGTCGAGGCGGCTGTTGCTAGCTGTGGTCGTAAGGTGGCCGGTGCCAGTCGTGGTGGCAACCCCCGTACCCGCTGGTGGACACCAGAGGTTCGGGGAGCCGTCAGGCTGAAGAAGGAGGCCTACAGGGCGTGGCTGGTCTGTGGGTCTCCGGAGGCAGCAGACAGGTACCGGATAGCCAAGCGGGGTGCAGCAGTGGCAGTTGCCGAGGCAAAATCTCGGGCGTGGGAGGAGTTTGGTGAGGCCATGGAGAAAGACTATCGATCGGCTCCAAAGAGGTTCTGGCAAACTGTCCGGCGCCTCAGGAGAGGAAGGCAGCAACTCGCTCACACTGTTTACAGTGGGGATGGGGAGCTGCTGACGTCAACTGAGGCTATAGTCGGACGGTGGAAGGAATACTTTGAGGAGCTCCTCAATCCCACCAATGCGCATTCCGAGGAGGAACCAGAGCTGGGAGGCCTGGGGATGGACTGTCCGATCTCGAGGGCAGAAGTTGCTGAGGTAGTCAAACAACTACACAGCGGCGGAGCCCCGGGGGCGGATGAGGTTCGTCCTGGGTATCTCAAGGCTATGGATGTTGTAGGGCTGTTGTGGTTGACACGTCTCTACAACATTGCGTGGTCATCGGGGGCAGTTCCTAGGGAGTGGCAGACCGGGGTGGTGGTCCCCATCTTTAAGAAGGGTGACCTGAGGGTGTGTTCCAACTATAGGGGGATCACACTCCTCAGCCTCCCTGGAAAGGTCTACTCCAAGGTACTGGAGAGGAGGGTCCGATCGATAGTTGAATCTCAGATAGAGGAGGAGCAATGTGGTTTTCGTCCTGGCCGTGGAACTGTGGACCAGCTCTATACCCTTGCAAGGGTGATGGAGGGGGCATGGGAGTTTGCCCAACCAATCCACATGTGCTTTGTGGATTTGGAGAAGGCTTATGACCGTGTCCCCAGGGGCACCCTGTGGGGGACGCTCCAGGAGTATGGGGTGGGTGGCTTTCTGTTAAGGGCCATTCAGTCCCTTTACCAGAGGAGCGTGAGTTTGGTCCGCATAGCCGGTAGTAAGTCGGACCTGTTCCCAGTGAGGGTTGGACTCCGCCAGGGCTGCCCTTTGTCACCGGTTCTGTTCATCACATTTATGGACAGAATTTCTAGACGCAGCCGTGGTGTGGAGTGTGTCGAGTTTGGTGGCAGGAGAATCTCGTCTCTGCTTTTTGCGGATGATGTGGTCCTCCTAGCTTCATCCAGCTCTGACCTTCAGCTCTTGCTGGGTAGGTTCGCGGCCGAATGTGAAGCGGCTGGGATGAGGATCAGCACCTCCAAATCTGAGACCATGGTTCTCGACCGGAAAAGGGTGGCTTGCCACCTCCGGGTCGGGGGAGAGGTCCTACCTCAAGTGGAGGAGTTTAAGTATCTCGGGGTCTTGTTCACGAGTGAGGGTAGGAGGGATCGGGAGATCGACAGGCGGATTGGTTCGGCGTCTGCAGTGATGCGGACGCTGAGCCGATCTGTCGTGGGGAAGAGGGAGCTGAGCCAGAAAGCCAGGCTCTCGATTTACCGGTCGATCTACGTCCCAATCCTCACCTATGGTCATGAGCTTTGGGTAATGACCGAAAGAACGAGATCGCGGATACAAGCGGCCGAAATGAGTTTCCTCCGTAGGGTGGCCGGGCTCAGCCTTAGAGATAGGGTGAGGAGCTCGGACATTCGGGAAGGACTCGGAGTAGAACCGCTGCTCCTCCGGATCGAAAGGAGCCAGTTGAGGTGGTTTGGGCATCTGGTCAGGATGCCTCCTGGACGCCTCCCTGGGGAGGTGTTTCGGGCATGTCCTGCCGGCAGAAGGCCCCCGGGTCGACCCAGGACACGTTGGAGAAGTTACATCTCCAATCTGGTCCGGGAACGCCTTGGGGTCCTGCCGGAGGAGCTGGTGGACAAGGCCGGGGAGAGGACGGCCTGGAGCTCCCTAGTTGGGATGCTGCCCCCGCGACCCGGACCCGGATAAGCGGAGGAAGACGAGACGAGACGTAATGTAATATTCTGGAGGCTGACGGTGACTTGCATGTAAAATTTCGTGTCACAGTGACTTCGCCTACGTATTTTTTATTTTTTTTGCCCCATCGTGATCCAAACAAGCCATTTGAAATCAAGTCAAACAAATGAATCACTTCTCAGGAGGTATCAGAAGGATCATCCAACCTATGATCAGCAGATGGCGGTGCTGACCTGCTGCCGGAGGACAAAGACTTCAGAACAAAATGGACAATCTGCTTTTTATATATTCAGTCTGATTTATTTAATGCTGTGTGGTTGCATTTTGGGTTTTTAAGGACCCTTGAAGCATTGAAATGGGTGTGAATCGTGATGGAAAACAACATTTCAAGTTCAATTCAAAGGATCTTCTGTATTTTCTTCCCTTAAATAAAGTTGCCGCTGGCATTTGAGTTGTGAGGCAGAAAACGCCTCTACACGTGTGGTTATTTCTCATCATGATTACAAAGACTTGAAATAGCAGAAAAATGTTGGTGACATAGTTCTCTCATTCTCAAGCGTCCTTGCTTGAATTTTTGTAATATTTACATTTTAATTACAATTACATGCATTTTTTTTTGCAAAAAAAATTAAAAAAAGGAGAATAATACATCTCAAGAATAGTCAAAACCAGTGCCATTGAAACCAGCAACCCATTTCAGAAAAAAATAAGATTTTTTTGTAAATATTAGATTTTTCCTTTAGCCATTTATACAGTTTTATCCAGGGAAGGATTTAGAAATGCATTGACCTCAGAATGTTTTAGGTGCAGAATGAATCCAGATAATATGGCATGGGGTCCGGATCCCTGGCCATAATCAAATGGGCTAGAATAAACTATTTTGCAAATAAAGTTAAGTGAAGTGATGGGTTAAATGAAATAAATCTGTTATTTTACTCTTCCTTACTTCATATTATTTCCAATAAATATTACCATGTGTTTTAAATATTTTAGATGGAATTTTAAGTGTTTATTACATATGATTTAATTTTGAAAAGCTTTTTATTAACGACCATTTAAATCAACCAATAAATTGTTATTTGCATAACTCTCACACACGCACACACACACACACATTATATGTGTGTGTGTGTGTGTGTGTGTGTGTGTGTGTGTGTGTTATGCAAGTAATCATTAACTGGTTGATTTAAACCAATAAATTTCTCTATTGTGCTTCAAAGCACAATAGAAATGAACCACAATAAAAATATATAATATAAAGAATATTATATATATATATAATGTATATGTATATATATATATACATATATGTATATATATATATATATATATATATATATATATATATATATATATATATATATACAATAAAATGTACGAAAATAAAAATTAATAAAACAAATAGGCACAATATGTCAAAGTTTTTATATGAATATATATAAACTTTGACAGATTGTGCCTATCTGTTTTATTTTTAAATCGTACATTTTATTACATATATATATTTTATTTTATTAATTTATATTCTTTATATTACATATTTATATTGTGGTTTACTTCTGTTGTGCTTTGAAGCACCTTGTGATTTTTTACTTGAAAGACGCTGCACGAAAACTTTTATTTTGTTTTGTAGTGGTGTTGCTCACCGGAAGCTGTTTACGTATTTCCGCTTTGTTCGTCGCGTGAAACCGGCGGACACAAAGGCCACGCGCAGTGATTTATCAGCAGGCTACCTTTCTTGATCCGTTGGTCCTCTCTCCTCCGCTAAACCGAACAGGGCCTCATTGAATGACCGAGACTCCAGCTGTCAGAGCTCGACTATGTAAGCCGGTTACTCCGAAACCTTCACCGACATTTGTAGTTTTTGTTTCCCTTCTTCGTGTTTGGACATTAGGATGGTATAAAAATGGCTAAGCGACCCGGGAATGACGACGGAATGCTGCCGTCGCCGACCATGATCCGGAATTTCTCCACGGATTTGGACGCCGGAGACGCGGACTGCGGCGAGGGAGCTGCCGAGGACGTATCCCTGGAGGAAATTTTAAATCTGTACAGCCAGCCGATTAACGAGGAGCAGGCGTGGGCAGTGTGTTATCAGTGTTGTCGGACTTTGGCGCAAAAACGACGGAAGAGAGGCTTCAAGTCTGCCGGTGCCTCCGCGGCGGAGTATCTGAGGAGGATTGAGGGACCCGAGGATGTGGTGATCAACAGAGACGGGACTGTGAAACTGCACTTTGAAGACACGACAGGTAACTACACCCAAACCAGCTGAGACCCGACAAGTGTGGGTCGAGTAACTGCGCAGCTAAACCACCAGGGCTGGATCCCAGCTGGCTGTTAATAATGCCCCTCCTAGGCTAAACCATAGACTGTACATACGGGCTAAACGAGTGGAGCATCTCTACCAAGGCCATATTGTGGCTGCCTCCTTCCAGCATGGTGGGGATTTGTTTACAGGCGCCTGATGCGGTTGTTACTAACACATCAGGTCCCTCTCTTGGGCATCTCCGAGAAGCCCACGGACCCTTTAATGAATGAATGACAGTCGGTGGTCATGTTTACATAACGAATAAGATCCGTACTGCTGGAGAATGGCTGATTAAATTTAGCCTAATAAACACCGAGTCACGTGATCAGATCAAAACGCAGAACACCTTGAGTTCAGCATCAAGAGGGAGAAGCTGGCTCCCAGCCAAGGACAGATTAGTCATAAAACCAACAGGGTCCTTTTTTTTGGGAAGTAAATCTAGAAATTGGTGATGGAAAAGGTTGTTTTTCGCTTTCTTGTTGCAACTTTGGCTAAATAGGAACTTTATGGACCATTGCAAACAGCACACATATAAAAATAAAAGAAAAGTTACTTTTGGTGGGTATTTTAGGACCTCTTTGGGTCTCTGGGAAAGATTGTCAGACATCACATTTAATCTAAAAACCCATCAGACTTCTGATTAAACTGAGTCAGCAACAGAGATCTCAGGAAAAACATGCCAGACACAGGACAAGCCCTGTCGAACAAAACAGATTCAAGTCAGATCAAATGGACTCAGGAAAACTGTCCTCAGACTCCGAACATCCTCAGAACTCAGGAAAAATACCGTCAGACAAAACCGCCTTTAGACGAATCGGACTTGGGGAAAAACGCGAAAAGACAAAGCACCGTCTGACTAAACAGACTCAGAAGCATTCTGCAGGTGACGCTGTAGTCAGGTGTTTTTAAAAACTATTTAAATTGTTGCATTTGTTACAAACATAGCACAAAGGTCTGTGGAAAACTGTTGCACACCTAAAAAGAGTAAAAGAGTAGCGCCATAATCAAGTCACAGGCAAACTGGTGTCCAAATATGTCATCAACATGCGACAGTGTCGGCATGTAAGATTAGACTCCTAACATTAGTTACCGTTATGTAGGACTGGGCGATATGGTCTAGAATCAGTATATTCTGCACGATATTAGAAAAACCTGCGATATTCGATAACAGTGCTTAATATTGCGATATCGATATTACTCACGATAAATGAACAAATACTGAAGTATGCAGTGTTGATGTCGTCTGGCGTGAGACGTCTGCTCTGGGTTCAAAGCAAACAAAAACTAATGCATGAATTCCATTAAAACATAACATTTTTATTGCAAAAATACGCAGCTGCACCTGCTACTGTATTAGCAGCAAAACAACAAACTGCATGCATGCAGTTTCTCAGTGACTTTAAAATATCACCTCCACCATAAAACTTTTTCTGATGCTCCAAATACAGAAAACATCCCTTACCAGGGTTTTTTGAATAAATAAAATCAGAAAATAAGTTTAAATGTTAAATAATAGTTAACATCACTTAAATGCAACAGCAAATTATTTCATTGCTACTGAACATTTTCTCCACTTATGTGGTTATGATATAAGGCTGTTGCTGCTATTGGGAGGTGATCTGTGCTGGGCCAAACTAGGAGAACATTAAGATTTTCTGAGGGAAAGAGAAAAACAATTGTTTACCTTTCAGAAGAGGAACTGGCAAAAAACTACATGGAAAATATGTGAAAACGTTTGTTTTTAACCCCAAATTGAACAAGTTTAACTAGACCTTAAAAAGCAGCTCAGATGATGAAACTGCAACTATGATTCTGATAACAAGCTAACTAATTGAACTAGCTCCTCTAAGATAACCGGCTAGCAGAGCTTCTGACTGACAGTATATGTGCAGCAGCAAATCAACTATCCTGATTAACAAGGTTATAAAAGCTCATAAATGAAAAATCACTTTGATGTGTGGGGGAACTTTTCCAGGCCCTCTTTAGCAGGGTGGGACTGGGAGGAGAGTGCTGTAGCCTTTTAGCTGGAGGCTAACCGGAGCCACCATCCGGTGGAACACTAGCGACATGGAGTGAGGTGGGTTGGTTCACCGGCACATGTCGGAGTCAGCCCGGTTATTATCAGCTGCTTAACAACACCGAGCGGATTCACGTTCATGTTTGAAAGCAGCGCTGATTCCAGAAACATCAGCACAAAGTGCGTTCGTTGCTCTGAGCCAGCATGATGAACAAGGGAACGGCGCCGCTAACTCAGTTCGGGTGTTGCTTTCCATCCTAAGGGTCTACGTGGGGGCGGGCGTATTACGTGAACGGACCCATCTGATTGGCCGCATATCCGAAGGGCTACATTTGATTGGTCAAATAATACTTCCACGTAAAAAACAGAGCTGGTTTACAAAAAGGTGATGTATGACACGGATGGAAATGTTTGAACCAAACATTTATCGCCGTTTTTGACGTGCTTTGCGATGGGCCTATAACACGTCCTGTTATCGCGATGTCGATAATTTTTCGATATATTGTGTAGCCCTACAATATATTGAGGATTTCTCCTCGATAATGATAAACGGACGGTAACTACAGGTATGTGTAGAAACAAAAGTTGTCCACTAAATGGGGCTGTCACATGTATTACATTGAGTCAGTTTTACATGACTCAAGGTGGCACAGCTTCTTAAAGGGACATGAATGTTGCCGACCTACACACATCCTTTCATTTTTGTATTATCAGATTAATTGACATGGGGAAATTTCACGATAAGTCAATTTCGATAACAATACATTTTCGATTTATTGCCCAGCCCTACCGTTATGTAAAGTAGACAGCCTAACTATGACTTCATATCGCACATTATAGCAAAAGTACAAGACGTAATTAAACTTCCTGTGGTGTTGTCATAAACCTGAATCTTGCGTTCTGCCACTTTGATGACATATTTTGACCTAAGTTTGTCCGTGACGGGAAAACGGCGCCACCTAAGGAATGCTTCTTTTTGAATCTGTTTTGTCCGACAGCGTTTCGTCTGGTGACGTTTTGTCTGATGCCGTTTCGTCTCGTGGCATTTCATCTTGTGGCGTTTCGTCTTGTGGCGTTTCGTCTGGTGGTGTTTCGTCCCATGGAGTTTTGTCTGGTGACGTTTTGTCTGATGCCGTTTCATCTCGTGGCGTTTCGTCTCGTGGCATTTCGTCTCGTGGCGTTTTGTCTGGTGGCGTTTCGTCTGGTGGTGTTTCATCTGGTGGCGTTTTGCCTGGTGGCGTTTCGTCTTGTGGCGTTTTGTCTGGTGACGTTTTGTCTGATGCCGTTTCATCTCGTGGCGTTTCGTCTCGTGGCGTTTCGTCTCGTGGCGTTTTGTCTGGTGGCGTTTCGTCTGGTGGCGTTTCATCTGGTGGCGTTTCGTCTTGTGGCGTTTTGTCTGATGGTGTTTTGTCTGATGGCGTTTTGTCTGATGGCGTTTTGTCTTGTGGCGCTTTTCCTGAAACCCTTTTTCAGATGTAGTTAAGTCAGCAGTCTGATGTGTTTTTAAACGAAACCAGTTGCTTTTTGTCTTTGTGGACCCAAGGATCTCCTAAGATGGACACCGTACACAAGCCAAAGATCAGCTTTTCAAATGTACAGACCCAAAACCCTTAAAGTTCCATTTTATGTACCTTTTTTCAACACTCCCTTCTCAGAGCAGCAGCAGGTGTGTTAGCAAGGGCGCACACTGCATCAAAGGCCTTGTGGCATTTAACTGCATTCCAGTTATACGCAAGAGATAATGTTGGGTGTGCAAGGAGAAAGGAGGCATGTCTTTCAGCAGAGCTTGAGGCACAGAGGTGTTGTCCCATCTCATCGTTTTTAGATCACGGTTGGTGTGTGTGACTCTTGCAGAATAAACAGATTCAGTGAGTGCTGCCCAGCAGCTTTTTTGCACCTTCAAAAATAGAACAGAAGGTGACGACTGAATGCACAGACTGTAAAAATCAAAGTGCAAATAAGTTTGGAGATTAAGTGGAGAGTATTTTGGGTGAGCGGCTGACGGGGTATGTTGGAACAGCTTGGGCCCTGTCCCGATTCTTATTAGACTCGGTGATGAGAAAGATGTGAGGCCTATTAAGCCGCCAGTAGTACAGCAGCTGCTGTAAGAGGTTTCTAATTCACCAGAAAACCATCGCTTATGCAACCTTTCTGTGGCCTACACACAAGTCAGTGACTAGATGGTGAGATCTGGCAAGTCCTCTGAAAAACAAATCCTGAGCTTAAACATCACAACTGATATTATTTGGTATTAAAGCCACAGACTGCAGCTGTGATCAACTACCAAGCTGCGAAAGGAATGAAGGAAGCGTTTATTTTGGTGACGCACATTTGGTTGAGAGCCAGTGAGTCAGACTTTGCTAATTTAATCTGAGAAAATCACTAGCTGTGTGGCTATTTGTCTCAGACTCAGCAGCTGTACTCGCATGCCCAAAAAATATTATTGATGTTAAACAAAGTTCTGCTGTAAATGGCATGCAGTCAGTGATTTTTAACCCAAAATGGTCTATTTAGAGTAACCAATGGTCAAATTATGCAAACTTTATTATTTTGTTAACAATACAAAAAGTTAATTGAAATAATCAGAGCAGTAATCATGAATAAATAAGTGAGTTTCTTTATTTATTGACTCTTTAATTAGAGTTATGTTCACCTTAAACACCTTCAGGGGATGTGTAGCCTGGGCTGCCTCTCAGTCTGGGTTTATTTTACTAGTGGTGTGTTTTTGGAGGCCTGAAGCAGTTCAGACTCCGTACTGACGCTGCAGAGAAAACGGGATCGTATGTCAACTTGCTGGATTTACATGCAGTATTCCTGCTTTTGGGCACTTCCTGTGTGGCACTGCTCCATTTTCATTCCCGACACATTCATTAAATAACAGTGTGGTCAGTAGTCCACATGAATAATCAAAAGGGCGTGTCTGGATAACAGTTTGTTCCAGGTAATAAAATGATCTTTCACACTGCCTGAGTGTAACGCTTCGCCTTTGCTTTTTCATTACAGATAAATATAAATCCTCCTGCACGTCTCTAGAGGTGAGTTCCCATTGGCCTCCTCAATCATTCAGGTTGGCACAGTGTGCAGGCTCCTGTTGATTTAATGCTTACAACACATTTTAATGCTAATTGAGAGCAGAAACGGACGACTTTGCACCTTTTCTTGTTGCTTTACCTCAAACATGATCACCACAACCACGTGAGAGAGCTACACGAGGCTTGTGTCTGTCTGATCAAGAAAGGTATGCTTTGTAATGGGAGATGCCTCCCAGGGGTTTTTATGTGTACATAGACTCATTACACACAGTTCTCTGTCAACAGAAGCTTCGAGACAACCCTTCCTGTTCGTCTTGTTGGTCATGTGACCCCTTGCATGTTCAGCATCTTTTTTTTTTTTTTACATTAAAATTCCGTCAATCAGCTGACAGTCAATGTGGATGACATCTCCCAGCTAACACTACTTTCCATGACTACGTTTAGGCTGTTTCTTAGCTGGCTGAAGCCAGTTGCCCCTTACGTTGTTGGTTTGGTTTTTGCTGTGTTGCACGAGCAGGGTGTGTTTGTTTTTGTTGGTTCTTTCTTGGAAATGACATCTTGCACAAGGACTATTTTAATCCAGCTAACTGTCTGACAAAGTTAATCTTGTGGTTGAAATTTGCGGTGACACCTGCCTGCAGAAAATAATCAGTTTTTATTTGCATTTAGCCAGCAACATGTGTAATAATCTTCAATGTAACACAGTTGGACATGATTGTTTAGGTCAATGTTGCTGCTGATCAGGTCATTTACTACCTTTTAATATGTTGAAGCACCTCTTCCTATCAGAGCAAAGTCGCTGCTTGTTTTTATTTATTGATGCCGTGATTTCTAGATAAGTAATCAAAATCTTGGAGGAGCCCACCGGTGTGTAAAATGTGGATTTGAAACTAGGGATGTCCCGATACTTTTTCACTTCCGATACGATACCGACATTGCAGCCTTCAGTGTTGACCAATACTGATATCAATCTGATACAATATCAGCACAAATCATACATGCTTTTACCTGTTTCGTAGTGTGGAATGTGTGAAAAGCTTGATCAAGTGATATTACTCAATCAGAGAACATGAGCCAATAACAGTAAATATGAATAAAATGAAAAAAAAAAATTGTAACCATTGGTTGCAAAACTGTCAACCCAAACGGACCGCTTATATCGGAGATTTTTGATGTCGTCCGATTAAAAACCTCAGTCAATAACGCGTTTCGGACTGTAAGCAACCACTGGACCATCAGGTTGTTGGACTAAAGCCGGGCGGACACTGTGCGACTTTTTCACTCGTAGCACTCAGCTTCAGCTCAAACTGTACGACTTCCTCGCAGAGCAGATCTCACGAGTCGTGCGCTCACACTGTACGACCCAGTTCTCGGATGCGACCTGACTGCTCACACTGTACGTCTGGTAGCAACACGTCAGACCTAAAAAAATATGCTTAAAATATCAGTTTTTACACAACACGTCAGACTTTTTTGTCTTGTCTTGCCTGTTGTCCTTCGGGAGTGCTGCAGGAGGACACACAGGGATTTATGGGGGTTGGATGAGGAAAACGAAATAAAGAAAGTAAATCGGTGTTTTGTGATCAGTTTAAGTTGACATGAACACGACAAACACACTTTCTTGACAATCCTTGTCACTGTGCGTAAAAAAAACGTTTAGAAATAAAAACAAACGTGTGTTATTAGGGAAATAGAGTGTGAGCGGTGTTGATGCATGATTGTGCATGCGCCGTGAGCGGTTCTGGTACTTTTTGGGTTGCAGCCGCTCTCTGCGCCGCTTCAACCCTCACGAGGAACGAGCAAAATATCAAACACTCCAGAAGTCTGTGTAAGCTCACGATTGCTGATCGGTAGCTGGTCACGTGGTGTTAATCGCCTCTCGTAACCCCCTGTACACTACACGACGCTCGGCGCAAAACTCGCCCCGATCTTGTGGATTCTCGCACGAGTGGAAAATCGGCTCAAAAAAGTGAAAAAGTCGCACAGTGTACGCCCGGCTTAACCGAGCCGCTGCATTTCCCTGGGTCTAGGGATGACCCGATACAACTTTTTTCACTTCCGATACGATACCGATATTGCTGCCTTCTTTGACCAATACCGGTATCAGTCCGATCAAATCAAATCAACTTTATTTATAAAGCACTTTTCATACAAAAAATGCAACTCAAAGTGCTTTACAGATTAAAATGGCCCCATAGATCCCATACTCCCATCCCAGCCCCCCTCCCCAAGTATAAAACAATTAAAAATTATAGTTCCCCTCCCGCACCCAACTTCCAAAGTGGACATACAATCACCCGCACACTTGTCCATGCACACGCACACACACGCACGCACGCACGCACACACACACACACACACACACACACTCGTGAACACCAGAGGAAACAATAGGCTGAGTTCAGATGGGTCAGGTAATGAACGACACATCATCAGCGGAGCCATCTGCCCTGGCAGCAACAGATCCATGGCAGCAGCCAAGACACCGGCCCGTGACGCCCAGTGGCGTAGGGCAGAAACCCCCACCAGTGCCCGGGCAGTACCCGAGGAGCGCCCCGGCCGCCGCCGCCCCTGACCACCGGCCCCAAGGCAGAGGGCTCCGCAGAGGAAACACTGGAGGATTTAAGATATATAACATATAAAATAATAAAAGCTAATAATGATAAAAAGTAACTGATAAAAAGTGATTATAAAGATAGTAAAAGAAAACATAAGCATGTAAAAACACTAAGATGTAGGTAAAATGATAAAAATAATAAAAGAGATAAATCTGTATTTATAGATAAATAGTGATCAGTTAAAAGCTAAGCTAAAAAGGTGGGTCTTGAGCCTATTCTTAAAAGCCTGGACGTTCCCTTCGGACCTGAGGTCCTCCGGCAGCCCGTTCCAAAGGCGATTGCCGTAATACTTGAAGGACGCCTCGCCGTGGGTGTGAGTCTTCACTTTAGGGATAACTAGGAGACGGCTGCCAGAGGAGCGCAGAGACCGCAAGGGTTTATACAGTAAAAGCAGTTCTGAAAGATAAGAAGGCCCAAGACCATTAAGACACTTAAAAACCATTAAAAGAACCTTAAAATCAATCCTGAAACATACGGGGAGCCAGTGCAGTGATTTTAAAACCGGAGTGATGTGCTCCCGCCTCCTGGTCTTCATCAGGACACGTGCTGCTGAGTTTTGTAAAAGTTGTAAACCTGAGATGATATCAGCACAAATCATACATACTTTTACTCATTTCATAGTGTGGAATGTACAAAAGGCTGATCAAGTGATATCACTTAAACAGAAAACTAAAGACAGTATATAAAACTGACCAATTTTTTTTTTTTTTTACCTTTGGTTGCATAAATGTGAACAGCTAAGGTTAGGGACATAAGGGAAAAAACACAATATTGTTCACTGATTATCTGCTACAAGTTGAGTATCTAAAGTTTCAATTTCACACAATGAGAAAATCCTCATGCAATGTTTTGTGATCCTGCTTCAAATGCACGATGAGGTTGGACATATTCCCAGTTCTGTTCCACCATGGAAAACCTGGGCATGACAAGTGTTGCACTGAGCCAAACTGTCTTTTTCGGACTTTAACGAAAAATACAGCCACATGGTCAACATTGTTCCTTGCTACTTTGCTAGCACACACTGTTCTGATCACGTGGACTTTGCGTGCTGGATCTGGGCGCTGATGGAAAGAATTGCTGGAATGGAACTAAAAGCGGAACGTACGGCTAATATCAGAGATTTTTGATGCAGTGCGATATAATCTGATGCAGTGGTTTTGGGCCGATACCCGTTATCAATATCGGAACGGGACATCCCTACCTGGGTCCCCCTTTCAATACACGCTCACATATTTAGCAACGGAACACCACTGGTGTGAGAGGTTCTCAGCTCAGTAATATCAGAGAAGGAGAAACAGCCGGCTGCTACCACTTCAACTTTAGGAAAAAATACCAGAGTCCCAAAAAGAAATACGCCATTTGAAGTCACAGACAACAAACAATGTTTGGACCTAGAAAACTGTGACAGGTGTTTTAGCGCTATCTCGTTTCCTCCGGCATCGCGGGTTTCCGGTTCTGGCAGAAGCATCTCAGGGAGGGTACCCGAGGAGAGGGGTGAGTGCTCTGTGACCCTGTTTGCGTTCAAAATCTAGCCTGTTAGCAGATTCGTCATAACAGCTTTAAATGTGAGTAAGTCTGACTGACCTTGAGCTCATTGCCTGGCAGCTGTAGCATCCACAAAATAATTCATAAGGAATTTAAGGAGAATAAAAATGCACGCATTTAATTTTTTACAGGCTTACACTACCCTGGCAAGTCACGCTAACATGTACGTAAACGTATATTCTGGCCATGATCCATAGACGGATCTGAGTCATAGAGGCAGAATCTATGGTTGTCTTTCCAACTGTCTCCAAATGCAGTCGGACAGCACTAGAACCAATCAGAGGAGCAAACATTGTGATGGTTTGATCGCTATGGAAATCGGTCAACAAGGCAGTCTGCCATACGCCATCGAGAAGTAGAAGAAGTAGTTGTATCTGTTCGTGTCTCAAAGAAAATCCCAAGTCTAAATCGTCCAAAGTTGATGCCAAAGCCGTTTGAAACAAATGCCAAGTCGCTGCCATCGTTGCAGTTTTGCGTCGTTGTAAATGTCTCTCTACAAACGGAGTGCTGTGATTGGCTGGGCTTAAAACCGTTGGGGCAATGGTAGAACTTCTGAGGGTACAATGAAGCGTGGCTACACCAGATTTTTCTACGATTGGCCTAGATTTCTATTCTAGGCTTACACAGCTTAGTTTGCTAACTCCAAACCACTCAGTGGGAAACAGCCAGGAGCGTTATTATTACAAGTGAAAATCTGGGACGATGTCGCAGGCCAAACTTAATATTTTTTGAAAAAGTGACGGCAAATTTGCACATTTTCATCGACATGTATGCAATTTTGAAACTTTTAATTTGGAAACAAACTTATTTTTGCATTAAGACTGAATGTGGAATAACCAA